TTTTACTTGGAGTTCTCATCGAAAGTTTTATCGTCCTCGTGTGTTCAAGGAGCTGCCGGTACAGGTGTGTTTGTGACCGATTTTACCCTTTCAGAAAGCCCAAGATCACGATTGTTGTTTGTTCGTGAGCAACAGGTCGTGATGCAGCAGACCACATGCATCATTCATCCAATCCTACCAGCCCTCCCAGTGGACCAATCACCCGATTACGAGGCTGATAAACCTCCCCCTCTCCGCTCAGGTCACTCCGTGTTGATGGACCGGTAGTCTGGTCCCCGGAGACGGAGGCGGGCACTGCACAATCAGGATATTCCTCATTTGGGCGCGGAAACGGTTTGCAGTTTCGCGCCTTGTTGTCTGTCTTGTTTTGATGGATCCTGATCTCCTGCCATGAGTTAAAGCGGCCATTTCGTCACACTTCAAAAACTTTTGAACTTGTAGTTGCGCGGTTGGTTCAGCTTTTGCAGGGGAACATCAGTGATTACCTTGTAAATGTTCAAGCTGTAATTACTCAGGGTGCAATAAGAACACTATCACTGGGGTTTTAAAACGAATATCAAGGAACCCAATGAGGCATAAGAATAACATGACTTGGACCTAAAGTATTTCACGGAGAACTGATTTACTTAAAAGTGTCAGAAATTATCGTCTCTTTAAGCCATTAAGTCCACCTGTGGCTGGTTTCAGCCTGTTTTGTATAATCGCGCTGATGTGGCATTGTTCCTGTTTCCACCGCGCGCGAGATGTACCGGTGATCGTTGAGGACAAAAATAGGCCCCCTGGGCTTCCGCGAAGATGATTTGGGGCTATTGTTTCTGAATGACGGGTATAATTGGTTTTGGCGGTCTTCAATAATAGCCTCGTTTTCTCACATTAATTGCGGTAATATGGCGCGCACGTGTTTGTCGGCCTGGCTTGTCCGTGTGGAGAATGTGCCTAGAATAGATTTTTTTATGTCACGTGAAAAGCAGCTCAGATCATGCGCCCGTATATTTGTTCCAAATTTCAGAGACCAGATTTGATCCCAAGGCTAACGCACACTAAAAAGGCGACAGTTGTTGGAGTAAAAGGCCACAACACGGCTTATATAACAAAATTACACGTCATAGCTCTTGTTGCGTTGAGTACGTGACTCGCGTATACGATTGGATATGGCGATCCAGTGTTTATTCAGGCAGGACGTTGGTAGTACTTTGAGCAAATGGCCCAGAAAATAAATGCTCTATTGCTCATTTAACATTTACCATTTCGGATTTCATATGAAAAGAAAATACATTTAGGCCTACCTCGGTGCAAAGCATTTCAGTGCCGGGGTTGTTTGAACTGATCCAGACCTGTCTAATATCACTCACGCCAAAACAGGCCCGCAACATAAAACTTTCAGCAGGGGGGACATGGCCCTGGGGCCCGGATACCAGACCAACACCCGCTTGACAACATGCAGATATAACGCCCCTCCAATCAGGGACTGCGAGACCGACTGTTCGACCGGCCGCGTCCGGCAAGCAACACGTGACCTTTGAATTACGACGGGGATATCGGAAAAGGACTCCTCCGTAAGACGACATGCAGTATAAATAATAAGCTGACATATCAGTATGGCAACAGCGATACCACAACACACCGTGACATCTTAAGGCTTGACTTCTCACCTCGACCGAGCGGTCAGTGACCCTGGAAATCTGTTTACCAAATGGCTTGTTGGTGTTTTTTAATTGCTGTTGTTGTTACTATATCTGCATGCGCTTAGTAGCATAGTTAGTACGTGTACTTGCTCCCAGTTTCCTCAGGTCCCGATTCTGCAAAGCATTTCCATCTGGCCTATCACTGGGTTGTGCTTCCAATGTACGAGGAATTTAGACCACCCGTTACTAGGTACAGTAAGCATTTCTTTGTCCTGGACTTGTGGAATTGACAATTCAATCCTTTTCAGCTCACTTGTACGACAATAAAGGCCATACAAGAGATCCCACGAACTTCCCTGGGACAACTCCAACTTCCAACATTTCCTGATGTTTTTTTGCTGTTAATTTTCTTGTGTACTCGTTTCTCGCATTGTGTTGAAGTACTCACAACTCTCACCAGCGCGTTATAGTTGCCATTTTGAATGTTACTAAGTCCTCTTTGATGTACAGTGTCGGTGATGCTGTACTCACATTGTAATGTGCCAGTATACTGCTTCGTTTCGAGGTACTTGTTTTCACACGAACGGTCAGTGACAACGCATATATGTGAGTACGTAGTAATAGATCGAGCTAGAATTCGATTTCACCATCTCTTTCGGTTTCGTTAATGAAAGGGTCCCATGCTCTCTCTTGGTCGCTGCCCGTCCACTTACATCATACATGTAAGTATGTGATCCGGAAGGGATCTGTAGGTCGTAAAAATCTGTCGATGTGTAGTGTGCATCGGCTACCAATTAGGTAGTGGAAGGCGTACCGGCGAGCAAAAAGATGCACCTGCTGTCTAATTAAAATGGCTAGTCATTAAAACAAGGTACAGGCCCGCTTCCGTTAACCTCCCACGTGGCGTTTAACCTCCAGAACAAAGCTTTTTTTACTCCCATGAGAATGCGGTAGCTTTGCAAAAGTAACGAAAAACTGAAAATGTTTATGACTATACGAGCGTTCACGAAGTTTTAAGTGGTATTTTTCAAAACCTCGCTGAGGAAACAGGCGATTGACGAGGCACAGCAACTCGACAACCTGCACGACAGTCCGCTTTTCTTCCCACTAACGAACCTACAGTTAAATATATCATTATAATTCTGTTATTAACCCTCAAAATAAAAAATACTGATAACTCTGAATATTGTCAAATCTGATTTTGATGTGATATGTATCCTTCAATGTTATTGCCGATAAGCAGTTTAATTTTGCTCGCATGGCCAAAAAAAAACAGGGTTTCAAACTCGGACAAAAAGGAAAATGCATTAAATTCCGTTTTCTGATTCCAGACTCATTGTCAGTCATCCGAAATTGTCACAGAATTGTAAAAAGTCATGAAGACGATGTGGAATTTTGTCATTGTCAGTTTATTTTAAGTTCAAAACTCTGTTTAATAATGATTACATTTAACATGTTCGATCTTCCAAGCGGTGCTGGAACGACAAAAACTTAACAAAGTGACAATTAACAACGGTCTACATCGACCTGTATACACTTAAACTCTGCGGGTTTTCACGTGACGTAACATGACGGGCAAAGGCATTTCAGGAAGCGTACCGTGTCCGTGGAGGCGCGTGCATTTTCGAATCTGTGTATTTCTATTAGAAATTTTGTGTTCGCCAGAATGTTGTGAGATTAATTAGATGCTGACTGTCAAAAATCACGTGACTAAAAAAACCCAATAGTAGGCACCTCAAGTAGATGATATTGGCTGATGCAAGGAGTCCATTAGTAGCGTCTTGAACCAAGGCTACAACGAAAAAGGGAGCCATTGGGAGGGCCTATGCAGTTGGGTTTGTACTTCGTAACCTTGTTCCAAGATGAACATGAAAATGAAAATTTGGTTTGGTATGATATCGTCGGGCCTGTCATGAGGCCCCATCACCGGCCAACCAAGCAAGTTCCACCAATTACCCTGCCCCTTCCTCGCTCCCTTGGCCCTGGGCCGTTCACACGCTCCTTATCATTTAATTAACACGTCCTTCTAATTATCGGCCGCTGTGTTGACGGAAATGGCCTCGTCTGTCTTGTTAATTGTTATATCTAATTAGATTGCGAAGAAACGGAGGAAATTCCGTAGGTAAGAGGAAGAGGTGTATCTTGGGGGAGATCGTGTGTTTGGGATGGGGCTTGGCCAGGGGTGTCACTCTATGACGGGGATGAAAGTTTATAACAACCTTAAGTGACAACAACCGCTCTATTATCTGTCACCCGTGGTTGCTAACAAGGCAGATGTGTCGGAAATTCACTCATTAACTCGACAAGGATATACCGTCGGTAAATAACTGGCGGTAGAATGCGCGTTATTCAGACTTTAAGTGCCATCTTGCCAGCTCGTTGATGAGTTTGATCTGGGCATACTTTATTTTTTTTTATCGGTGGGTTTTATTATTCATGTTTGACTTGAACTTAGAGATTCTAATCACCGCACTGTCACGTTGTACTAAAAACGGTGCGAAATTATGCTTGTCCACGTCAGAGGCGTCTGTCAGGATTGACGTGGGTTAAACTATGGTCAGTAGAGCGTCAACGAGTCCAGAAGCTGTACGTGTATAGGCCCTACCTGATTGAGAAAAAATGCAAACTGGAAACTTAAAGTTGAAATGTTTTCCAGTTAACTCTGATGAGTTAACAAACAGGTTTTCAATAAGTATCTGTGAAAATGCTCCATAATTATTTCGTGTTTTTACATAGCCTTGCTCAGTCTTAAATCTTTACCTCGAATAACATGCTTACAAATACAAGTGTCTCTGATTCTATTTTCGATTTCTCCCGACCCAGGCCGCCTTCCCAGTCCCCCCCCCCGGGCAGGCATCGCTGACCTGCCACGCCGGCCTGTCACTCCCTATTGTCTTGGCAGACCGGCGCGGCTGTCGCCGGAAATTCTTCATTTTTTTTCCTTCATGATAATGGATGGAGATTTCTCCCGTCATGCCTGCGCGTGAGTTACGTCCAGCTGTGCCCCATCATATTTTTCTCTAATATGAGGCCCTCATGATATTAGTTGCATCCGGATCGTTGCTTATGTAATATGGTATATGAGCCAGAGCGATGTGCACGAAGGCGTGGGAAATGGTGCAAGCGGTTGGCGTGGCCCAGGCATCTGGGGCATTCCGTGCGTGCCGCTGAAAACCGGCTTATCAAGAGGGCAGGCTAATCTCTACTTGGAAACCAGCGGAATCGATTAGCCATAATCGATTTCAGAGATGTGATCTGAGATTGCCGTCGGCACTGAACCCCAACTTGAAGCTTACTATTCCGAGCTTTTTGCTCTGGAGCAACGAACATTTGTCTGTTGTATTTTTTCCAGGAGCTGACCAGTTGCGGGGAGGATGTGGTGACACCGATGGTACTCGTCCGGCTATAGGCAGGCGTCTAGGGCAAGGGTTAACACATAAAGGGCGCATTGCCCCAGGGACAAGATCATTGGTGCTTTGAAATTTAATTGACACTGACACGAAAGCAAGCAGTGAGTGGTTCAGGACGTACGTTGGCGGTTCGGCGGTGGCAGCGGCGGTAATATCTTAGTGTTGTTGAGAGTGGGACTGGACGAAGGACTTTGTGCGTTGTGGCGTGGTTGTGGATGGACAGATCGTAAAGAAGGGTGATTCGCCACACCTGTCCATGTGACTGTGAGTGTGAGCCAAGTTCCGGTCATTATTTGCTCGGACTCACCACCGCGGAACTCACGGGGGCTTAACATCGTGCGGCTCACCGTATAGAAAAACACCGGGAAACCTAAGAATCCCAGGAATGGCACCTGCCGTATGTGGCTACGTGCCGTTGAGCTTTTAAGCCTACTTCGCCGGAACCTCAGGTGTACACGGGCAGACAGTTGCTCTCTGCCGAAAAAAAAAACAAGCAGTGGTCTCGTTATTTGCTCCACGAAGGAAACCACGGCGTGGAGGGGGATGTAATGAGTGGGACGACGCAGAGACGTGAGCTTCGTCAGGGGGAAAACACCGTCTGTCCTTCGGGTCACCCGCACCGTTCCTTCGCTCCCCCACAAACATAAGAGCGTCCCAGCCGCACACCTGTCTGCTCGGGTCACGCTAAACCCTCAGCTCTCCTCATCGTTTCCTAATAACACCCTTGCCATATCATCGTCATCATTGGATTTCAGCCTTCTCAGGCACCCCTGTGTGTCACAGACAGAGTTTCCCGCCTTCCCTCTCAAAAAACCGTGACACAAACTGGACGCATACACTGACATGAAACAATTACAGGTAAGTAGTATATGTCAAATTATGCCATAATAAAACACAACAGTGGTGTTTCATGCCAGGTATTAGTCTTTACCTTGTTTGTCAGAGTTTGGGAGTTTCGATCTGACCCTCTGACCATGGTCTGACCATACCTCGCCCTCCAGACCGATGTAAAGCATGGCAGAGGTTGTCGGGTCATTGTCGTGTCTACGTCTCTATAATTCTTTGGCAGCGGCCGAAGAATCTGCAGCCAGTCCCTGTTTTTAGTACCTTCTGGATTTTATGCTAGTTATATACACGCTTTAATAAAGTAATGCGATTTCGATATTCACGAACTTATTCAAAATACTGAGATGAAGGAGGCCTGCACCCAGCGAAAATTGTTCTTTCGTGACTTTCCGATGTTACAAAGGCGTTCTCTCTTATACTCGATGGGATTCGCCTGAGTTACGAAATGGGAATGAGTGTTCACTCTTTGATGATGTTGTTTAGCCTAAATTCGCCTCTCGTACATAAAAATTCCAGGGCCTTGTAACACTCCTTACAAATTATCGGCAAGGATGTTTTTTTGAATGAACAAAATGCTTCCAAACTCTCAGGTCCATGAAACGGTTAACTGGCCCCTATATACCACCTATGTGTGCATCTTAAGGAGTTGTGAAAGTCTGGGTAAGACCCATAGACCTATGCGAAAGCCTAAAGCTGAACAAAATCGGAAATTATTACGTCGTCAGGTCATGACAAATGGTGCTGAGTGGCTGTTCAATGTCACGTGGGACGACTGTATAGGTGCCATCTCCCTACAACGCTATTTTGCTTGGTGAGTGAGAATCGAAACACCTTCCGAGAATCAAAATACGGTTCTGTGGATGGATGAAGAACAGATGCTATCTCGTTCAGATTTTGGTGCTTGTTCAGGAGTAAACTCCTTGTTCTTAGTGTTGTCACAAAGTCATGGTTCATTTTGATTTCTCCAGTCGGGACTTTGAATAAAGTGCAAGTCTACATGTAGCCAAGCGATGCAATCACGCAGAAGCACTCTCAAGCAATGGAGTCCGTCACCTCACATTTCACTCATTTTGTCATTGGGTCGTCTGCTCCTGTCTAGGCCAGTGGAGGATTGGCCATTGTTGCGTGTGTAATGTTAACACATTCATGGTGAACCAGGTGTAGGCTATGCACTTAAACGAACCTTTTTGACATGTTTGAAAGCATATACAATAACTGTTATGCCCCATATTAATTACTTGTGCCCTTTGAAAATTGAGGCAGTTTTTCCATTCGCTTAAAACATACCGGTATGAACTGGACTGGTGAAACTTTGGCTTTACCTAACGACCTTTAGTTGGCATTTACAAACCAACATGTAGATTTTTGTTGTTGAGTGATCAAGGTCCTGTGATGTTTGTTCTCACTCCCATGGTCGAGCCAAGATCGAACCCCAGATGATGACACGGTCTCACCATGGAGGGAGAAATAGACAATCCTCCCGGCCGGCGATGCCCAAACCCATTAATCCTTTCCTGTTTGGTAACTATCCTTTGTCTTATTGTGAAGGTTCTTTTCCTCTTTGGGAATGTTCCGATTCGAGATGACTGATTATTGTGCATTCTGAAAAAGTCCTCGAACTAATGGAGGGCGCCGTTTCCTCTTTCCCCAAATTTACATGCATTGGTGGAACGTGCAATGAAAATTTAAAGCGGAAAAGTGTAAAAGTGGTAGACCACACCGAAATCCTCCACAGCACTTTTTCAAAAGGAGTTCGCTGAATGACGCTGACTGGTAAATCATATTTTGGAGCCTGAATACTTTGGTTAATTAGTTTCCCCTCGGACCTCGACACGGAGACGGCCAACCACAAAACATAGGCGGGAAACTAATGTCACGGTAGACTTATCCAGTACTGGACAAATAATAAGTCTTTTATCTGTATCTGTACTTGCCCGGAGATGAACAGCTGCTTAGCTAACTGTATGACCGTATAGGCACCAGCTTGCTATAATTTGCCTACTTTTCAGTTTTCCTGCCAGCCATGAACCGCTCCCTGCCGCAGATATAAAACATCATTCAATGGTCATCTCAGTAATTTTTTTTCCATCCGTCACGCCTTTACTTTGTTCTCTTTACGAGCTACAACAAGCCACGCAGTTTATGTGTTTTTAGTGTGGAGATATGGTTTGTGTTTGAATTCCCGTGGTTGAGGATGCACGTGTGATTTCACAGCTTGCGAGCGGGGAAGTTAATGCAAGTTGTACTGGGCATAGGGTTACGAGAATGTGGGTAAGAATGTTTGACAGTAAACATGTTGGCCAAGTACATAAACCTGGTTTATTTATAACCTCCTCTGTTCTCTCTGGCTCAAAGGTCGGCATTTCACGTAACACTTCTTCTCGGAAACCGTATATTTTGCAAGCCGAATTCCCGAAATTCGAACTATGATGCTGTCGTCACTCCGTGGTTGTGCGTTATTGCTAATGAATTTCGTCGCGTCATTGATGCATCCATGAATCCACCATTCTACCGATCCTGTTTCCTCCCCGCCTTCATTCGCTGTGACGCTCGCTGTGAACAGGGCAATTCATCTCTCTTCCATTTGCGATTATTTATCCGTTTGGCTTTTTTTTCTGTCGGGAGAAGTAGTTACCAAGGCACGGCCGGATGTCGTACGAGAAGTGTTTTCCAGCAAATTAGCGGCAGCTAATGAATTGGCTCCGGTTGTGCGGATGTAGGGGTCGTTAACGCGGAATGCAAAATTGGTGAAGACCTGGCCACATGTTTTGGCGCAGCCTCTCAGGTAATATTTACCACGCTGGCAGTTTAGAGGCTGTAATCTTTTATTGCGCAGCTGTATTGCTGTTTATAAAGATGCCGGAATCCGCCACTGAACGTTGACCCACCCGCTCTTGAAGATTCTGGTCTTTGTTCAATCGTAGCCTGACCGAGCAACCTAATCAAAAGGTCAAAACCTTGATTTAATCGTATATGCATTTTTTAATTTGGGGAAAAAATTCTGGCAATGACCTGACCGAATTGGTGCCGCCAATTCGTAAGTAAGTGCGTGAGTGGTCATTAAATTATATGCCAAGGTTGTTAGTCTTAATGTTCGGAACATGTATGTAGGCCCTCCCCGTACTTAATTGACCATCTGTTTTCTGTGTTTGAATTTTTTTCTTGGCAATTTCCGATTCCGGTTTGCTGATTTCCGACTCCCGTGTTTAGCCCTGTTCACAACAGTGTCCCTGTTTGTGAATGATTGAACGTCCCGTGCCATATTGTTTAATGCAGCTCGTAATGATTTACTGGGAAAGTCCCTAAATCAGCTACAGCTTGAAAATCATTCAAATACACATTCTCTTGAGCTTTAATATAAACGGTGACCAAAAGGTTTACCCCATTTCAAATCAGTTCGGGGGACCAAAGTAGGAATTTCCCTTGCATCGCTTACGAAATTTCCGGATACTGACTATTCCCACGGTGATTTTGCAGCACCCTTGTATAGGTTGGGGGGGGTCGTCCCTGTGACATTACATCTAAACTCCGCACCCTTTATGATTTTGTTATCTATAGAGCCCATGAATATAACCGTCCAATCGTTTGAATGAGTATGAGTTCTTTTCTATGCTTTTGTGCGGATGTATGCTTGAATTGTTTTCCCTTGTTGACTCAATATGCGTCGAGGATTTTGTTCTTTTTTTCCCTCGTTCCAATGATATACCGAACAGGATATGAAAACGGAAATATTTAATTGCTGTTCTTTATGAATACCCACTTTATTAGGATTTTTTTAATGCACGTGTATGTTAACAGCCGTGACTGACTATAATTATTCCTGCATGATTTATTGCGCGCACATGTGTACACGGCCACAACCGTTGGATAATACAGTATTGAACAGCTGCTGACTGCGGGAGAAGCGCGCCTCTCAAGCTCAAACAGCGCCACCTCGTAACGGATCTAGCTCATCCTTACTGAAATGGTAGCCCAGTGCATGGAGCTCATAGCTCCATGCCCAGTGTATGTAAGCATCCGGTCCGTACACCATTTCTGAGTCTTACTAGTTTGTTTTCATTAGATTATTCAAATGTTATGATCTTGTGTATAAACTCCTCATGCATAGTGGCTACATACTTTTCAATGCGAACACTGAGGGAGAAGTTTCACACCAACAATTTCACTTGAATTAATACTCATGATACATGTATATGCACTGGCATGATGTGTGACGATGCATTTTGTGAAAACAAGCTGTTGTGCAGTTTCTTGGTCTCAATGAACGCACGCACATGACACATTTTAGGTCCCGCGTGCTCATGACAAAAGACCTCTCAGTTATAACAGATTCGCACGATGTGTACCCCGACCTGCACTACAAATCGCTTAATATCTCTGGTACAGTACACAGGTTAGTTCATATTTACTGCACTGACCCGCGTCGGGACACAACTGGTTCGTCACGACCGATTGACCAAAAGCAGTGTTCATTTCCCCCTTTCTTTTCTGTATTGTACTGCACAGATAGTCTTTTTGTCCGTCAAAAAATCCCACGGGTTCCAGCAGAACTGCAACTTTTGAAAAAAATTATGAGCAGCGCATGACAGAAATGATTTTTTCCCGTAGATTTAGGAAGTTCGTGTGTGGCTATAAATAGACACTCTCTCGGGCTCTTCTTATTTCTTGTATTCAGTGCCAGCGATCTAGCCGGCCTAGGCTAGTTTGTTTTCATTGCTACAAAAGGCATGTCCCGTTCTGGTTGGATCTTTGAATTGGTTGGATTAAGTGGGCAATTTTTCAGGAGTCGCTAGCCTTCGTCAGTTGATGAGGCACCGTCTCCGTTCAGTCGTTAGGCCCTCTTTCGGATTACCTCAGAAAAAATATGTAGGGGGACCCCATTCTCCACTGTTCCAAACCCGAGCGGAAGGTAAAATTATTAAGGGAGAGAGGAGTACTCGATTCATCGATTGTGTATGTACTTCTAATGCAGTAATTGAAACCCATTTTGGGGGTCTGTATTAAAATCTTGA